CAGTTTCCACGGGTATCCCCCTGTCCCATGAGCCAGGGTCTCAGGCGCTCGGCGTCTCCCCAGCCCGGCCAGCAACCAGAAGGCCCTTCTTCTCGGTAGAAGTTTGTGTAGTGACCGGCCCCGCAGGCACCTTTGCAATCAGGCCTCCAGCCCTGCAGCCACACAGGCGCCCTCCTGGCCACGGAGCTCCTGCTGCAGCTTGCCCTCCCCCTGGGGGGGGGGGTGGCTGGGAAGAGCCGCCCGGCGGACAGGCTGGACGCTTAAGAGGGAACCAGTGTGTCATCCGCGCCAGACCTCACACACACCGAAGGGACTATTTACAGCAAACGTGCCAAAGTAAACGACCCCGCCCACCCCCACCCCGTCCATCTCCCCCGCCCCCCCCTTTTGGTAAACTTCAAGATAAACACCCCTCGGTCACCAAAGGGTCGGCCTGTCCCCTCTGCAGTCGGAGGCGGCGGCGGCGGGGGAAGGGGGGACCCGGCAGGCAGGCGTGGCCCCGGCCTGGTAGGGGCAAGGCCAGCCTCGCTGCCGCCTCTGAGGCCTGGGTGGCGGGCCGTGGCGTTGGTGGCGCGGGTGTGAGCAGACCACGTCTGTCCTTCCCCTTTCTTGAAACCAGCCCTTTCTCTGTTCCCAACTCACGGCTTCGCTGCCTCTCCCCCAGGTCAGCATCTGCCCTCCACACTCTGCCTGCGCCTCACACGCCGCCGAGGGCATGAGCTGAGAGGCAGGGGTTACTGTTATCGCTGACAACCGGGCCTACAAGGAAGTGGAGGTCCTTCTTGCAAAAGGCGGGGGAGCATTTGGAGGACACCAGCCGCTCCCGGAGGACCCACACTTGCCCCCACCCCCACCCCCGGCTCCTGCCCTAAAAGGCACCACTTCGCAGACTCTGCGGAGGGCTGCCTCCATCCACATTGCCCGTGTGTCTTTGTGGAGCGAGGAGGCGAGGAGAGAGAGAAGATAGAGGGAAAGGAGGGGTGGGGGGGGAGGACCGTGTAGAGCCCGCGCCTGGATCCTACGCCCCGGGCTGCGGGGCGCCAGCCGGTGGGTTCCCCTGGCGGCCAGGCCTGGCACCGGCCGGTCCTCGGCCGCTCGGGCGGGCGAGCGCGGCGGCCACCAGGCCGCTTTTGTTTGTTTGCAAATTAATCACCAGCGCGCGGCCGGCGCCAGAGCGGGTTTATCACCCACCGGGAGGGGGGCGCGGCGGCCCCGGGAGACAAAGAGGAGTTCGCACCTTCCCGCTTTTGATCCCCCAGCCGCCCAGGCCTCCCCGCAGAATACGAGCCTCCCGGGGCGAGTCTGGGAGGTCAGTCATAATTGGCGGAAGTTTGCAGACCATTAGCGAGATGTGGACGTGTTTTTTTTTTTTTTCCGATTCTGAACCCCACCAACTTTCTTCCTCATCTCCCCCCCTCACCCTCTTCACGCCAGCTACAGGAGGAGCAGAGGAAGGGGGTCAGGCGACGGGGATGACCCCAGGGTTAAGTTAGACCTCTGGGCAAAAGCAGGCCATCGGGGGAGGGGCCGTGAGGGGCAGAAGTGCCGTGAGGTCCGCGCGGGGGCCAAAGGCAAGTCGAGGAGATATTTACTAGTGAAATCAGGGAGCTCCCCTCCCTGTCTGTCTGAAGCAGAGGGGAAGCGGGACCGTCTCCGAGGACCCAGGGGATGTCTCCCCCTCCCTGCCTCTGCACCCCACAGTCACACTGCGGCTGCAGGATTACCTTTTTTCCCTACTCGGAGCGCGGGTGCAGGCAAAACCCGTTCTCGGGGGTTTGGGGCGCCTCCTCAATGTGCTGGGAAGCTGCCCCCCCCCTCCCTCTGGTGGGGGTGGGATCACAAAGCCTGCAGTGACTCAGTGGTTAGTGCAGGCAGCGGGGCGGCCTAGCGGCTAGGGACGCCGGAGAGGTCGTGGCCAGTCACCACCCTGGGCCCACTGCCTCTTCTGTCCTCCAGATCTGTCTTCCGGGCAGAGAGAGATGGCCAGGACGCCGGAGAAAGGCAGACGGAAAGGAAAAGGAAGGGGTGATGAGATGGCGAGCCAGACTGAGCGCGCAGGCCCGCCACTCCGTTCTCCCCGAGACTTGAGGGGGCTCTCCAGGCTGGCACCAAGCACTCTTAACCATGTGCATCAAGAATGCCAGGCTGGAAAGGCCCCCATGCCGCCCGCCCGGCCACAAAGGAACTGCGTTTCCCCCTCCCCTTGCTCCCCACTTGGGAGTCTGGAGATGGAGGGTGAGGGGCGTGCACAGGGCAGAAAGAGGACGGTGGTGTCCACTCAGAAACACGCACATGTCTGACCCCCTAAGGCCCCGAAACCAGCCCTTTCTCTGTTCCCTAAAACAACAGTCTCCCTTAGACTTCCCTCCAAGCAGGGAAGTGAGTGGGGGGCAACTCACGGCCCCCCAGAAGTGGGGAATGTGGTTTAGGGAATCCTCTGCCCGGGCAGGGCCTGCGGTCACAGTTGGTCACAGTTGTCAATTCGGTGACAAGTTGGACATGGAAGGTCGGTGGGTTGCCTTCCTCCCCCGCACGCCCCCACCGGCCCTGACCTGGAACCATTCTCCAGCCGCCTCTGGGGTGGGGGCGTTTCACGGTTTGTTTTACAAATTCACCCCTGACTCCTGGCGAGGAAAACGGAGGCACCCGGAGACCAGGGCGATGCCTGGGGGAGATACGGGCTGGCGCCCCTCCCCCGCCCGCCCGCCCGCCAGCCCCTGACCCCCGGCTCCGCTGCGCGCTGGCCGCCGCCAGGCCCCAAACCTGGCGGGCCGGGCGCCGCGCTCCCCGGGCCCCGATCTCCAGTCTCCCCTCCACCCTCACTCACACATGCGTTCAGGTGGAACCCGAGGAGCCCGAACCCAGACCGAAGGCCGAATCTGGAAGGGCTGCTGCATGCAATTCACACACACACAAAAAAAACACCCCAGGCGCCTCCCCGGGCGGGGGCTGTGTACGTGTTTGCTTGTGCGTGTTTTCCGCGGGGGGCTCGGTCCCGGGGCGCTGGCGCGTGCCCGCGTACAGGGGTGCCCGGGGCATGTGGGTCGCCGCACCCGGGTTTGGGCAGGGTAGGTACGGTGCAGAAGGGAGCCCCCGCACGCGCCTGTGCCGAGATCCGGCTGCATCCGAGCGCTCGTGAGTCTCCGATCCCAGATGCAGGGGGAGACCGGCACCGAGACACCCGAGCTCGGGAGCCCTTGGCGCGGCGGCCGCGCGGAGCCTGGCTCCACGTGGGGCCGGAGAGCGCGCCAGCCTGGGGTCCGGGGCGCTCGCCTCCCTGCGGCGGCTGCAGCAGGCTTTGGTGGCGCCCAGCGGCCGAACCGGCAGCTCGCAGGAGGGCTCTGCCGGCCTCCCGGTTCGCCTGGGGCCGGTTAGTATCAGAGGGTCAGCGGGAGAGAGAGAAACAGCCGCGGCGGCGGCGGGGAGGCGGAGGCGAGCCGAGCGCGCGCGCGAGAGGCGAGCGCCCCTGCCCGGCGCCGGGCGTCCTCTCCGCCTTCCCGGCGCGGCTCGCTCCCTACTCCCTCCTCCCTCCCCTTCCTCCCGGGCCCGGCCTCCTTCCTCCCTGGATCCCCGGGCTGGAGGACTGAGGCATTTCAGACTTGGGGCTGAGCGAGAACAGACGAGAGCGAGCAGCTCTGGGACGGCGGCGGCGATCTCTGGATCAGCCACCTAGAGGCGGCCCGGGGCGCGCGCTCCCCGGCGGCGCCCGCCCGCGCCCGCGCCCGCCCCCCGCCCCCCGATCATGTTGACATATCCGCGGGACGGGCCGTAGTACCGATGCGGCAGCAGCAGCGACGTTGCCGTTTCCGACACCTTCTTTTTATAACTCGGCCCTCTCCCTCCCAGCACTCGACCTGTGAAAACCACGCCTATGCGGCCACACAATTGGTCCGAAAGCGTCAAAGAGCCAATCAAGAGGCCCCCGGCTCCCCGCGGCCCCGAGCACAGCCCGACCTTCTAGAGCCGCCGAGCAGACGCCCCGGGAATTCTAGAGGCGGCGGAGGGTGGCGAGCAGCTCTGGCCGGCCCGGCTCGCTCCCTCCCTCTCCTCTTCTCCCTCTCCCGCTCCGTCCGTGCCTCTCTCTCTGTCTCTCTCTCTTTCGATCTCTCCCTCCTTTCTCCTCGCCACCCTCCCCACCCCCCCCAACCTCTCCCTCTCCAGACTCCCTAACCCCGTGCGCGTCTGGACGCAGATTTAGGAAGCGAATTCGCTCACGGTTTTAGGACACGGAAGGCGGGCAGGCGCGGGCGCAGAGGAGCGCGGCCGGATTCGGATTGAAACCCGGACACCCTCCGGAGGAGGCTCGGAGCGGAGGAAGGCGGAGGAGGAGGAGGCGGCGGACGGAAGCCCGTGTGCAGTTTCAAGTTTTGATAGCGCTGCTCGGAGAGGGCTTCTTCAATCAGAGATTTTTTTTTTTTTAAAGGAGAGAGACTTTTTCCGCTGTCTCGCCACTGCCGGCGGTTCCAGCCGGGGGTCCGGCGCCTCCTGCGAGGAGGAAGAGGAGGAGGAGGGGAGGGGAAGAGAGAGGAGGGAGGGGGGCGAAGAAGGAGAAGAAAAGACAAAAAAAAAAAAAAAGTCTCCGAGGAGGAGGACCGTTCGCGTTTGCAACAAAGACCTGGAGGCTGGGGCACGCGGCTCCGGGGACCCGGGGCTGAGGGTCCGGTTGGAGCCGAGCAGCCAGCGGGGCTCGGGCGCCCCCGGAACCGGTTCGCAGGGGCGGCTTTTTCAACGCGCCCGACGCCAGGACAGGCACCCCGCGACCATGTCTCCCGATCGCTCGCCTCGCCCCCTTTAAAAGCGGCATTCTCCTCCCCCAAAGACACTGAGACACTGAACACCCTCCCTGCGAGGCGCTTTTGTTGTGATTTTGTTTCCTTTTTTTTTGCCTAATTTTTTTTTTTTATAAACTATGTGCTGCTGTTAATCCAAACAAAAAACAGCAGCTGCGGACTTGTCCCCGCCGAAGCCCAGCGCCCCGCCCGGAGTGGAGGGACCTCTCCATGAGAGATCCGGTCATCCCTGGGACAAGCATGGCCTACCATCCGTTCCTACCTCACCGGGCGCCGGACTTCGCCATGAGCGCGGTGCTGGGGCACCAGCCGCCCTTCTTCCCCGCGCTGACGCTGCCTCCCAACGGCGCCGCCGCGCTCTCGCTGCCCGGCGCCCTGGCCAAGCCGATCATGGATCAGCTGGTGGGGGCGGCCGAGACCGGCATCCCTTTCTCATCCCTGGGGCCCCAGGCGCATCTGAGGCCTCTGAAGACCATGGAGCCCGAGGAGGAGGTGGAGGACGACCCCAAGGTGCACCTCGAGGCCAAAGAACTTTGGGATCAGTTCCACAAGCGGGGCACCGAGATGGTCATTACCAAGTCGGGAAGGTAAGCGGGCAGAGAGAAACCCTCCACAAACTCTTGGAGGGTCTTTCCTCCTTTTCTCTCTCTCTCTGTCCTCCCGGATCGGCGGGTTTGTCAGTCCTGGTGGCTGGCTTTGCAGGAAAACTTGGGTGCCCCTGGAGCTGTGCACAGGCGCCCGGGCCTGGCCGGTGGCAGGCAATCTCAGCCTACCTGGGTGTCAGCAGGCGCGGGGCGCTGGCGTTCCCTGCCTAACTCTGCAGCCTGGGCTCCCGGCTGGATAGAGTTTTAGGTAGAGCCCAGACTTCTCTGCATCAGTCTCCCTGTTCAAACCTTTCTGTAACCTCCCGCTGGCTTTGTTGATGTTGTGGGTTTTTGTCTGCCTCATTTTGAGTTCAGAGAGAAAAACTTAAAAGCCCTTTTCTTTTGTGTGCGAGCAAGAGGCCTGACACCAGCTTCTCCCGGCTCTTTCTGTCCGCCAGACTGGCCTCCGGGGCCTGAGGGGGCCTGAGCCGGAGATTGCCCGGCAGAGAGAAGTCGCTGGGTTTGGAGTCTCTGGGTTTGTTTGTCCGCGCAACTTCACGTGTCCCTGATCCAAGGGAGAGTTCAGCGGGCAAGATTCAGGGATCCTTCAGATTATGTTTGCAGACTCCAGGAGCCACTGGGAAGATCCAGACACATGCTTCTGTTTTGTGTGCACATATTCTCAACCCTAATTTTACACAGAGGTCCTTGCCTGAAAATCGCTGATTTTTTCCTTTTTATGGCCTTGAAGTCGATTGAGGCATCCAGTTGAAAGAGTAGAGATAAAACACCCGTTCACCGTGCCTTCAGCTTTCTGACTGTCCAAGTTATAGGAGGCCAAAGTTAGGGACAAAACCCCTGAACCCCAGGAGACGTGTTGCCAGTTTCCCCAGAGAAGTGCTTCCTTCTAAGTCATGAGGATAGAACCCCAGTCCTTCTGAACCCTAGCACTTTTGGGGAGCAGGCGGCGGTCGGTGGCCCAGGCTGGCCGTTTGGGACAGGCCTGTGCTGTGCGGGAATGGGGTGAGCTCCGTCGGCAGGCGGGCTGGTTGTAAGGCCGGGGAATTGCACCCTAAGCCACAAAATTCGGCTTCAGAAGGCGCCCAAGTCCAGTTTCATTTTTCACCAGCAGCGGAATTGCTGCTCGGAAGAAACTGGAGGTTCATTTCCTTGATCAGGGGAGCCTTTTCTCCCGGACAAGCGGGGGAAAAACCTCCGGCTTCCACTGGCCCGCACTTCTAAAACCCTACCCCGGGTGCGGTGTAGCGTTAGACAGACAACCTATGCATGCACACGGACAGGAAAACATGTAAAGAAAAGAGGAGACCCTGTAGAGAAGTGGAATGCTACCCCTCAACTTGTTTTGAAGTCTCGAGACATTTAAAGATAAATGAAAGTCTGTTGGTTACTCCTGCTGCTGCAGTAGGCAGCCGCTCCGCTCTGAAACGTAACCTTGCCCCCGTGCAGTTTAAATTTGATTTTCAATATTTCAGGGTACAGAGAGAATCCAACCCAAGCATCCTAGTGACTTTATTTCCCTTTCTTTCCCCACCCCTCTCCTATTGCAGGCGAATGTTTCCCCCCTTTAAAGTAAGGTGTTCTGGGCTGGATAAGAAAGCCAAGTACATTTTGTTGATGGACATTATCGCTGCCGATGACTGTCGATACAAATTCCACAATTCCCGGTGGATGGTGGCGGGTAAGGCTGACCCCGAGATGCCAAAGAGAATGTACATCCACCCGGACAGCCCGGCCACCGGGGAGCAGTGGATGTCCAAAGTGGTCACTTTCCACAAACTGAAACTCACCAACAACATTTCGGACAAGCACGGATTTGTAAGTTTCCTCCATCCTCTCCCTAAAAAAAAAGTTCTCTTTCTCTGCTCTAGCTCAGGCAGGGTTCCCCCCACGTCCCCTGGCCTGGTAAAAATCCTGAGTTTCTGCTCAGGCTTCTCTGGCCCTCTCTGGGGCCAAAGGTAGGGAACGTGTTGGGTCCGCAGCAGAGTGTGTTTCTCTTCGGAGAAGGGAAGGCCCGGCCTCTCTGAAAGCAGGGCTCCTGTTCTGGGGCGCTTGTAGGGCTTGGGAAATGCCTGCCCAGGCTTTGGAAGTTCAAAGCCAATCGTTAGAAACTCTATTTTAAAAAGCGATGTGTGTGCATCAGGGGTTTCAGATCCTCCTCCTCCTTCTCTTTTGAAATCAGCCATCGTATTTCTTGGGAAGAGTGTGGAAGTTGCATTTGGGGAAAGACTTTTTTTTTTCTTCTTCTCCTTCTTTTACTCGAAAAGCATTGGGCTTGGGTGAGAGTCAGGTTTTACTAGAAATGAGACGGACCTCCAGAATCAAAATTGTGTGTGTGTGTGTGGTGTGTGTGTGTGTTGGGAGTATATTTATATATTTGGTGGGAGCGTACTTAAGAAACGTCCAGAAGTGGTGGATGGCTTGTTAAAAAAAAAAAAAAAGGCGAGCAAAGGACCTTTCGCCCCGGGCTCCTACCCTCCCTAACATTTCCACAAAAATAAACAGCGATAAGCGAGCAATAAGCAGGAAGATTAGGCCCGGGGAGGCGAGCAGGGCGCGGAAATTTTCTTCCGAGCGGCAGGAATTGCATTGGAGGCCCTTGATTTGATTAGTGCATAAATATTCCTCCGCGGAGTCCGGCCGCCCTGGGCTCTAAGTGGATTGGGCTCGTCAATTAGCGAACGCTTAAAGGACTGAATCATTTTTGCAAATTAAAATGCATGTGTTTTTTTTTTCTGTCTTTTAAGACTTTGGCCTTCCCAAGCGATCACGCAACGTGGCAGGGGAATTATAGTTTTGGTACTCAGGTAGGCTAGGATTCAAGGTTCGGATTGAACCTGAGATGGTGAGGGTGGGGGGGACCCGGTGGAAAGCTGAGGAGCAATTAGGATTCTCCAGAAGGTCGCGTTGGTGGAGTGACAAGTGCCCCTGGAGGGGGGCTCAGGCGCGGTGCCCTCCGGTGGGGTAGCTGGTAGCCTGGCAGGGGTCCGAGGGTCCCGTCTGTCCTGCTCAGCCCCCCCTTTTCGCTGTGTCTCTCTCCTCCGCCTGCCCCTGCAGACCATCCTCAACTCCATGCACAAATACCAGCCCCGATTTCATATCGTGAGAGCCAATGACATCCTGAAACTCCCGTACAGTACCTTTCGGACCTACTTGTTCCCCGAAACCGAATTCATCGCTGTGACAGCGTACCAGAATGACAAGGTAATCAAAGGCGCTTTTGGGGGGCCCTAAAGGTGAGCCCACTCCTGCCCTTTTAGCTGCTTTGGGGGAGGGAGAGCATTGGGATGGGGGTCCTGCATTTTCTCTTGCCATCGGACTGTCCGTGGAGCTTTGAGGAGTGGGGAAAGGGAACCGAAACACCGCAGAGGCAGAAGGAAAAGAAAAGAAAAAAAGAACAGCAGAACAACCACTTGACCAGCTAGGATTCAAGGTGGAGTTTGGCAAAAAAACATGCCAAACTAACTCTGTGTCCGGGAGCAGCTCCCAGGGACCGGGGTCTGGTGCCACCCGCCCCGCCCCACCCCCACCCTTGACCCCCAGGGCTTTCTGCTGTTTGTCCCGAGGTTTATCCTCTTCCCCTTCAGGAGGAAGGCTCCAGAAACCAGGTTCCCAAAGGAACCAGCTCAGGGTTTGAGGCAGAGGCCATGGGGGATCCTGGGAGGAGAACCCCATGGAAGTCGCTTCTCTTTTCTTAGCCAGAAACCCGCGAGGAGCCGGTCTGGTTTCTATTACCTTCCATGCTGCTGTGTTTTTTATGGCGTGTCGTGTCTGTGCGTGCGTGCGTGCGTGTGTGTGTGTGTGTGTGTGTGTTTGGAAAAACTTACTCTGATCACAGGGTCATACTAATTGAGTTGTCTGAAGCTGTTGAGAGGAGGTGACCAAAGCCACCACTTCGCTGGAAGTTTTGTCCCGCCCCCCCCCCCTCCCTGGCCTGGGCCTGAGGCCGGGGATTAGGAGTGTCCCCAAATGGAACCGCTGCGGGCAGCACCTGGTATGCACAGTGATGGTGGCCTGAAGGTCATGGGCACGGAGCACAGAGACGCTTTTAGCAGGCAGTGGTTGGGGAGGGGAGAGGGGGGCATTGGGAACCCTTGCTCTTCAGCTTCTGAATCCTGGTCCCAGGGAGAGTGCAGCTCCTGAGACAACACCCTGCGTTGTGAATTCGCTGTCACTCCAGGGGGTTCCTCTGGGGCCGGCTGTTCCCAGGTGAAGCCTCAGTCTGCAAATCTAAGCGCACCCACATTTATTCCAAGGACGAGGATCCAGCCAGGAGGCCCTCTGCCTCCTCCAGGGTCCTCTAGGCACATTATTATCCCCCAAAGGGAAGGGATTTGGAAGCATTTCCCTTCATCCTACAGAGTGCATGCTCCCTCTCGCCCCAGAGCCCGGGAGCCTGACCTTGTTACTGTAACCATCAATTGTAGCCATTTTTTGATCAGACAAAGCGACCAGGGCCTTCCCTACCTAATGGCCGTGGCAGAAGCATGTAAATGAAAACAAATGTTTCCATGGGTCACCCCGTCCTTTTAGATTTGCAATTGTCCATATTATAACTCCTCCTCGGGCACCCACCTCATCCAGGAACAAACCATCAAGCCCACTCTGGCATCAGGGTAACCAAACCCCATAAATCATCGTATTAGATTCACAGAAAAAGGCTGGAGTGTATGGTGTGTGTGTGTGTGTGTGTGTGTGTGTGTGTGTGTGTGTGGTGTGCGGGGCTAAGCAATGTGCCACAGCGTATCTGATGATTAATTGCACGGTATTAAAAAAATTGCAAAATGAAAGCATACCTTTCACATCTACAGGTTGTCTTCCCTTTGGACAATTTTGACAACTTTTCCATTTCTAAGCCCAAGCTGTCAGATTAAAGAAGGAGGCACTTCCCAGGCGGGGTCATTGCAGCTTGGGGTCCTGGTTTGGCCCCCAATGGGAGCGTCCCCCGGGATTTTAGGGGGGGGGAGGTCGCCCTCCACACATCTGCCTGTAACCCCTCACTCTTGCTCTTTAACCTGGCACATCCCAGCGACCTCTCCTGTGGGCAGCCAGACTTCTAGTGAATTGCTAAGTGGAGGGGAAACACTCAGAACATTCTAGAAAACCAGGCCAACGTGTCTTTCTTGCTTGTGTGTCCTCCTCTAGATAACCCAGTTAAAAATAGACAACAACCCTTTCGCAAAAGGATTCCGGGACACGGGGAATGGCAGGAGAGAGAAAAGGTGAGCTGGGGCAGTTACTTCTTTCTCGGGTCATTTAGAAGAATCACTTTGCCAGGTCCCAAGTCTCAGCGGTGGGGTGCAGGCCTCTTCAAAGGTGGGGTGCAGGCCCTCTTATCAGGGGAGAGAGGGGAAGGCGGTCATGAGCTGCCCTCTGCCACGTGCTTGCTGAAGTCTGTCCACGATTGCTTCCACCACCTACAGTCACCTTAAAGGACATTAGGCCACACCGAGGTTCTCTCGGGAGGAAAGGGACAGGGGTAATCAGTTATATACGGATGCCATTAATTCCTAATCAATTGGAGGTACCCCTGGACAGGTCCCAGGAAAGAACTAAGCCATCCACAAAAATGCTTTGGAATTCTTGCAAATACCACCAGACAGAACCGAGGCCCCCGGAGCAATCTGGGGGAGCTCCCTCCTTCACGGGTACAGGGATCATTTTGCATCCAGCAGGCAGCCCGAGAGTCTGTGAAAGGAGCTCTCCCCTCCCCCACCCGCGTTCAAGGAATTTCTAAAATCCAGAAAATTAACCCAAATTTTTAACCTACCGCCTGAGGGAGGGGCAGGCGATAAGAAGTGATTTCTAACGTCTAAGCAGGTTTTTTCTCCCCCCCAAACCAATTCATAGGAGCGGATCCCAGATAAGTGCAGCCTGAAATAGCCACTTCCTCCCGTCTTAGCCACCGGTGGGGAGTGGGTCGGCTTTTTGTTTTTAAACCAAATCACAGCCCACACCCGGGCCCTTTCCCCAAGGAAACCCTGATCTTGAGGGCATGCACCTTAAGCCTGCACGAACCAAGTCACACCCCACACCCCTGGGCCACCGTCTCCAGCCAGGGAGAGGGTCCAGAACAGTGTGTGGGTCCCTGTGGCTGTCCCCGGGCAGGCAGGGGGCAGAGTGAGTGCCAGGGGTGAGGTGTGCCCCTCGGGGGAGAGGGGGAGACACGGGGATGGACGTTCTGTCCTCACGTGGGGCGTGGGCTTCCGCAGAAAACAGCTCACCCTCCAGTCCATGAGGGTGTACGAGGACCGGCACAAAAAGGACACCGGCACCTCGGACGAGTCCTCCAGCGAGCAGGCGGCCTTCAGCTGCTTCGCCCAGTCCTCCTCCCCCGCCGTCTCCACCGTGGGCACCTCCAACCTCAAAGGTAAGCCGGCCTGGGCACCTGGGTGGCTTCCGGACTCCAGGCCTTGGGCGGAGGCCTGGGAGAGTTGGGGGCTGGGGCACCCAGCAGGGAGCTTGCCCCTCAAAACCTGCAGGCCTTCCTAGAAGTCCCTACACAGGAGCCAGCGCTGCTAAGGGTGCCAGGTGTGCCCTCCTTCCTGAGCTGGTATTAGGAGTGCAAGAACCCCTTCCTGCAAACCTCAGTTTGGCTGACAGAAGGAGGATGGTGTCTGTATATTCCCTCTTGGTGGGGGCAGCTTAGAAAACAAGCCTGGACACCCCCACCACCACCCCGTTCCCAACACACACACTGTCTCCAAATAACTACTGACTGCCATCTTTGATCTCCGAAGTCAAGGGTGTTGGGCTTGGGGGGGGGGGGGGAGACCAGGGATTCTCGGCCACCTGGAAAGGGAAAGGGACCCAGAACACACCCTGGAGGTAGAGCCCCAACCTGTGAGAGGCAGGACCTCTGGGGGTCCGCGTCCCGGAAAGAGGGGAGGGGTCGGGAGGGGACAAGATGGTTCAAATCCCCAGTCCGTTTCCTGTGTTTAAAGAGCAAAGAACTATTTATCTGGAAAGACACACACACACACACACACACACACACACACACACGCGCTCTGGCAGCGGGAAGAGACCTGTTTTTCCGTTTCATCAAATGGGAGTCCTTTATGTCCCTCAATCCATTTAAGCTTTAAACATAAGATCCCTTTGCCTTTTCTTTTTTTTTTTTTTTTTTCTGGTAGGACACCCACTGAGGGTGTGGTGAAAGCAGAAGGAGCCTCTGGGATTGTCGGGGAGTGGGGGGGGGAGCCAGGGCAGGGGGCTGCCCAGTACCCATCTCTGTCTGCAGGGACGGGGCCATTGGAGGCTCCCCTGGGTGTGTGTGGGCTTTCGTTGCTGCCCCCACCAACCTGATGTCAGGGTTCTCCACACAAACCCTCCCCAAAGAATTCACTAATTTGTAGGAAGCCTGATCAGTCCCCAAACAAAGACCCGGATGGTGGCTAGGAGGTGTTCCCACCGTGAGTCCCTTTTTATTTAAAAAAAAGGAAATTTGCAATTGAAAGGCAAGTCCAGGTAGTCTGACTGGCCCTGGGAGCTCAATCCCTGCCTGTAAAAAAAAACCCGTTACCCTGTGAGAGAGGTGTCTATCGGGGGAGGGCCTGGTGGTCCATCTCCATTATCGGCTTATTGAATCTTTCCACTCAGAGTCGCGGAGTGTCACCACTCCCATTTTGCAGATGAGAAAACTGAGGCAGGAGGGAGGTTAAGGGGCTTGCCGGGTGTTACCCAGCTCGTGAGCAGGCCAGCCAGGTTTCATGCGGGGGAGCTGGCTTCCACGGGCCCCGCCTGGCGTGTCCAGACGTAAGGCAGGGGGTCCCACGTTCTCACCCCCTCCCCCCTCTGGCAGATCTGTGTCCCAGCGAGGGCGAGAGCGACGCCGAGGCCGAGAGCAAAGAGGAGCACGGCCCGGAGGCCTGCGACGCCGCCAAGATCTCCACCACCACGTCGGAGGAGCCGGGCCGGGACAAGGGCAGCCCCGCGGGCAAGGCGCACCTCTTCGCGGCGGCCGAGCCCGGCGGCCGGGCCCGGGACGGCGGGCGGCTGGACAAGGCGTCGCCCGACTCGCGCCACAGCCCGGCCACCATCTCGTCCAGCACCCGCGGCCTGGGCGCCGAGGAGCGCCGGAGCCCCGGCCGCGAGGGCCCCGCCGCCAAGGCCGAGGAGGCGCGGGCGCTGCCGGCCAAGGAGGCCGCCTTCGCGCCGCTCACGGTGCAGACGGACGCGGCGGCCGCCGCCGCGCACCTGGGCCAGGGCCCCCTGCCCGGCCTCGGCTTCGCCCCCGGCCTGGCCGGCCAGCAGTTCTTCAACGGGCACCCGCTCTTCCTGCACCCCGGCCAGTTCGCCATGGGGGGCGCCTTCTCCAGCATGGCCGCGGGCATGGGGCCCCTGCTGGCCACCGTGTCCGGGGCCTCCACCGGCGTGTCCGGCCTGGACTCCACGGCCATGGCCTCGGCCGCCGCGGCGCAGGGACTGTCGGGGGCGTCGGCGGCCACCCTGCCCTTCCACCTCCAGCAGCATGTCCTGGCCTCGCAGGTATGTATGCTCCCTCCTCCCGCTTCCTCCCCACCTCCTCCCCCGGCCCCCTGGTCTAGCAGCTTCAAAGGAGAGTAATTGCTGGGTGCAGGGTGTATCTCCTAGATGCATCATCAGCTTACACTGCCCCCCCCCCCAAAAAAAAAAACCTTAAATTTTTTCCTAAGGGAAGGGATGTTTCTGGCAGAGTAGGTAGGCAGGTGGTAATAGGAACTGCACACAGCGCTTAAATTAGTGCCAGGGACTTGTCTGAGTACGTGATCTATTCTGACTGCTGATGTACGGTGATCACCCCCGCTGTAGAGCCGAGGCCCAGAGAGGCCGAGGAACTTATCCGAGGTCACACAGCGGGTGGGTGGTGGAGGAAGGCTCTACCCCAGGCCGCCCGACTCCGGGGCCTTTCCCAGCGCCTGTGATTTTAGCTTCTTCGGGCACTGCAGTCAGAGGAGGAATCAGAAGAGGGAGAGGCCGAGGCCTGGGGAGCGGAAGGGACTCCCCGGGGGTGGGAACGGAAGTCCTCACCCCCCCTCCCCTCAGACTCTCCTCCCGTTGGAAGCTTTTCCCCTGCTCCCGTCCCAGACGGGCCAGCCTGTTCCCCAAAGGGTTAACGGGGTGGGCACCCGTGGGAAATGGCGGGGCTGAGGGGCAGCCGGGCAGCCTCCGTGTGGCGCAGACAGCTGTGCCCGGGGCCGGGGTGGCCCGGGGAAGGCAGGCCCGGCCGCTTGGAAAGGCTCTGAACTGGTGGAAAGGTTCCGGGAGGCGCTTTGCAGGCCCCGGCCTTGTTTTGTCTGAGCACATTTGTCTCCCTTCCCGGAGCCAAGAGGCAGGGCTGGCCGCCTCTCTGCGGGGAGGAGGGGAGGAAGGGACTGAGGGGGGAAAAGGGGCTGGTTCCTGGCCTTTCTCTCCATTCCTGCCATCTCCTCCTCGGGCCCCTCCTGCAGAGCAGGCCACGGGGGACCTGAGGGCACACAGGGCACCTCAAGGGGGTGGGGGCACAGAAATGGCCCAGGCCAGGTCCCTGGATTTACACCCTGCTTCTGCCCCTCACTAGCTCGCCAGTTCCTGTGCCCTGGGGCCTGCCTCGGTTTCTCTGCCTGTCACACCAGCCTATCAGGCTGGGCGACTTCTCCTCTCTGTAGCAAACACGGCGTCCCCCTTCCTCCTCCTCCTCCCCAGTTTTCTTGTGCTCGAGACCTTCCCTGTTAAGTTTAGTTTGTTTTCTGGTGTGTGTTGTTTTGTTTTGGAACGTCCAGGGTTGGAGTGGAAGGGTTCCGGAGGGGACCGAGAATGAGAAATAATTATGCCGGATATGGCATGCCCTCCGGTTCATACTCACCACCATGGGGGGCAGGGAGGAGGGGGGAGACTGACCCCAGCCCCATTTGACAGGTGCAACAACTAACCCTGAGCATGTATATCCGTCCTGTTGGCCGGGCACCCCGAGGAGCATATTGAAGGCATTAGCTCATTGCATGTCCACAAAGTTCCCGATAGTATATGAATTATTTAATATTTCCCTGTTGTTGTTTTTTTTAATACGAGAAAGCGGAGGCACATGGAGGGAAGGACCTCCGCCGAGGTGACACAGCTAGGGTGTAGAGCTAGAGAAATAGTTTTAAGACGCCTCCCCCCTTCTCTCGTCTCCCCTCCCCCCCAAATCCTCTTAGAGAACTGGGGCTAGCCCACCCCATCGAGGGGGTCCCCAGGCGCTGGGGACGCAGCCCCCAGGTTGGCTGCAGCCCCTCCTCGCTGACTCGCTGCCCGCGTTTCTCTTCCCTCCCCAGGGCCTGGCCATGTCGCCCTTCGGAAGCCTGTTCCCTTACCCCTACACGTACATGGCCGCCGCGGCCGCCGCCTCCTCCGCCGCGGCCTCCAGCTCCGTGCACCGCCACCCCTTCCTCAACCTCAACACCATGCGCCCGCGGCTGCGCTACAGCCCTTACTCCATCCCCGTGCCGGTCCCCGACGGCAGCGGCCTGCTGGCCACCGCGCTGCCGCCCATGGCCGCGGGGCCCCTGGACGCCAAGGCCGCCGCCGCCGCCGCCGCGCTAGCCGCCAGCCCGGCCTCCGTGGCCGTGGACTCGGGCTCGGAACTCAACAGCCGCTCCTCCACGCTCTCCTCCAGCTCCGTGTCCCTGTCGCCCAAGCTCGGGCCCGAGAAGGAGGCGGCCACCAGCGAACTGCAGAGCATCCAGCGGCTGGTCAGCGGCCTGGAGGCCAAGCCCGACAGGTCCCGCAGCGCGTCCCCCTAGGCCCCTCCCCGGCGGCGCGGGCTCGTCATTCCAGGCCCGTCCCGGCTGCAGTGCACTTTGTGGGGTGAACACGACATCCCGGGGCGCGAGGGTGGTGGGGTGAGCACCCCCCCCCCCCGGGACTTGGTGCGGTGGCCCTGCCTGGGACAGGGTGCCTGCCAGACTGCCCCCTCCCCCCAGAGAGAATGTGCTAGAAACAAGCCCCGTATGTATCCGGGAGACCTGGCGCAGGTTCTGTGTGGCACGGAGCCTTGGGGGGGGGGAGGGGTGGTGAGTTCAGGCTGGTCTGCCCAGAGCACCTCCAGGAGGCTGGTCTGGGGGCCTGGGAAGGAAAAGGTGTCGCCATGCCCACGGGGTGGGGGGAATGGAGGGAGGGAGGGGGTGTTGGAACGTGTCTCTCCCAGTGCAGATTTATATATCTATCTATTTTTTTTCCTTCACCGTGTCCAGTGGAAAGAAACAAAAACAAATAAAATTTAAAAAATATATCTATGTATCTACCGGGGGGCAGATGAGTTACTACATGAACATGATTCTGTTTGTGGAAGATGAAAACTTTCTAGCCTGTCCGTTCTCCATGACTAAGCAGCGTTGTTTCGGGGTGGGGCACCCCTCTGCCCGCCTGGTTTAGTCTCTCTTTTAAGGTAACCTGTGTCCTTTTTGATATTGTGATGTTTTAAGAGCCACTGTAGGTCTCTTCTTGCATGCTCCCATAGCGATGTACTTGTGGTTTTTCCTTTGGAAATGCTTGCTTTTTAGAAGGGAAAGAACACGGCCCCACGCCCCTTTCTCCCCCCCCCCCCCACTATCTCCTGTTGGCGGCCGATTTAAAGACACACAAAGAAAAAAAAAGTTTATTTTATCTAAGCTCTCCGTAGCAGGATTCCTGCCTGTCACTCACTCTGGCGGTTCTTTCTCTTTTCCTGTGTATATGCAATAACAAGGTTTTAAAAAAAAAATAATAAAGAAGAAGCGAGACTATTAGCAAAAGTATTTATGTAATTATTTGATAACTCCTGTAAATAGATGGAATATGAATGCTCGGAAAATTAAACTTTAATTTATTGACACTGTACATAGCTCTGTAAATAGGATCCCCAGCTGTCCAGGTCTGTGTGGATTACTCCTGTAGTCGGTTTTTATTTCAAGGTCACACAGGATTGCTTTTGAAACTAGGAAAAAACACTTTCTGCACCAACACCAACACACTTTTCAAAAACAGTTATCTGCAAAAAAAAAAAAAAAGCAAAAAAAGCAAAAAAAAAATCTTAAAAAAATGTCCAAGTGTGAGAAAAAGTGGTATTTTTCCCAGAATTTGGGAGGTGGTGGTAAAACCACTTCCCAGTTTCACCTTCAATTCCTTAAAAAATGTAACACCCCACCTTGTGGTTCTGAGGTTGCTTGGGGGGGAGAGGGGGACCCCAGGGTGGGGGCTGCAGAGGCTGTGGCTTGACTTCCTAATTTTCCTCCTATACCTGTATGTGCTGGTCTCTGGTATCGTCCAAAGCAAGTGGCATGGACTACTGTCTTCGATATCGATGGTGTTTTTGCATTGGTGCCTCTAGAGAGAGGGATTCACAGTTCAAAAGTCAGGTGCTGAGATGGTTTAAAGAGAAAAAAATCTCATGAAGGTATATTTTGTGTTATAATCGATGAGTTCTTTGGTTTTCTGTAATCCCCCACCCCCACCCCTTGAAAAACGTCATGAAATTTCAATAAATTTTTATTGAAATGACTTCTTTGGGCCTGGTTCCTTCCTCACTTTCTCTTAGGGACCTCGGAGCTTCCTCTCCTGCCCCCCTCTCCCCTCTCCCCTTCGCCTTTAAGTAACTAAGACCGCCCCCACCGAACCCGAAGGAGATGTCACTCAAGTTGCCAAGCTAAAAACAAAAGTCCCTTGCTCCGCAGCCGCCGAGGGAGCCGGCCGCCCCAATCTGAAATCACTTTTCCTTTAAATTAGGGAGCGGGACGGGGGACAGGAAGGGGGCTGATTGGAACTGGATAGGAGAGCCATTTCGGAGACTCCGGTTTTAATGGGGAAAGAATGCTCCCCTCCCTAAGTCCGTGTTTCCCACACGAACCCGACCGCAGAGACGCCGGAGGAGGACGGCGTACATTTTCGTTTCAGCCTCCCTCTCCCTCTCCCCCCCGCCTCGATCTGGGAACTCCAAAATGTGCGCAAAAAAGCCTCTCTGAATCTCCAAGCCTGGGCTTGGCCAGGCGGCGACCCACTTCCCCCCAATTCCCCCCAGTTGTCAGCGGGTCCCCCCTGCGGTCCCTGGGGTCTCAAATGGGACCAGGCTGACCCAGGCGCCCCAGCCAGGCCAGGCCCGGCCCGGTCCGAAGCGGTGCGTGCAGAGCGGCCGGCTCCGCTCCCCCAGGCTCGGCTGGGTCAGGCGAGGGTGTGTGTGTGTGGGGGGGGGGGGAAGGGCAGCTCCAAGGCGCATAGTTGACCCCCTCCAAGGAGAAAGTCACCCCGGAGGCCGGCACCCTCCCCCGCCTCTCCCCTCCAAGCCAGCCTCCGGGCGGTTGGAGGAGTTGCCTTTTGAAGTTCAATTTATCTTTGAAACATTTCAATAAAAAACGGTGAGGCAGCCACAAGCTTTTGGTCTCTCCTAACCTTCCCACCCCCAGCTTCGTTTCGGAGTTGTGTGTGTGTGTGTGTGTGTGTGTGTGTGGTGGGGTGGAGGCTGGGGTGGGGGGTGGCATGTACGGGAAGGTTCTCCAGGCTTTTCTTGCCCTGAGGGCCATGACGTGAGGGCCCAGCCGGAGCCTGCCTGGCTGCCCCCCTCCCTCTCCCCCTCCCTGGAGCCCGCCAGCCCGGCCCCAAGTCCCTGTCACCTCCTAGCCTCCAGCATGGCCAGCGCGGGGAGCCCTCCCCGCCTGCATCCTGCGCTGGGGAGGAGATGGGGGTCAGGGCCTTCTGGAGAGGGGAGCAGAGCCCTCTCCGTCCCGCAGGCTCTCCCGTCGCTCTGCTCCCGGGAAGGGAGGGAAAAGGACCCGGGTGGCGGTGCGGGGCTGGGGGCCTTGGGGAGCTGGGGGCCTTGGGGAGACAGCTGCCCCGGGGCCAGGAGGCGCCAGGGCGCGCGCCCTTGGCTGGCCCCAAGGTTGCGCGCGGGGCTGCGCCCCTGGAGGTGCGGGTCGACCGGGGGCGCTCAAAGGCGCTCTCCCGAGTGGGGAGCGGGGGAGCCAGGGAGCAAACGGTCTCGGCCTCAGCCTGGGAGAGGGAAGGAATGCTTTTCTCTCCCGATCCAGACCCGCAGAAACGCTCACCTCCTCCACACACACACACACACCCCCCCCCCCCCCCCCCCGTGCTCGGACAGTGAGTGCCCCGGCGAGTGTCCAGCCTCTCCCACGGCGGGCAGGGCTTTTTATTTTCTTTCTTTCCAATCTCCTTTGTATCTTATTTGTATATAGCGATGTTAATGAGTAACTCTGGTGGCGCTGACGGACGGGGGTGAATGGCTCGCAATCTCTCCGGGTTTCGCTGCCTATTACTCACCTGGCGCCGGCCGCAATCTCGCCGCCGCGGGCTTTATGGCGGCGGCGGCGGCGGCCGCGGAGGGAGGCCGCGCTCGGAGCCGGCGCCCCGGCCCGTTCTCCGGGCTTCGAGTGCCACCTATCTGCATGGCGCACCAGTGCGCCCCGGCGGCGCCTCCCGGGCCCCGGAACCCGGGCCGCGTCCGTCCCCTTTGCGCTTTGCCCCTTCTCCTCCTCGCCAGCCCCCAAGCCTGCACCTCCTCTCCCGCGGCTCCCCCGCCCCGTCCCGTTCCCTCAGCTTCGGGGGAGAAGCCGCCGTCCGTCCTCTCTTTCCTGAATATCACTTTCACTCCTGCGGGGACCTCAGATGAGAAAACCAGCCCTTCCCGCCCGCCTCCGGGTTTCCAAGGAGCGAAAGGAAATCCAAGGAGGGGACCCCCTTTCCCCTAATGTTCTCGCCAAGGGCTTGATTGCTCGCGGTGGAAGCCGCCAGCAGCTCCCCCCGACCTGACCCTGCGGGGTCAGGGGCCACCCCGAGCTCAGGCTGGGGAGATGGATGCAGAGAAAGGGGTCCCCTCCCTTCCTCCCATAGACACCGCTCCAGTTCTACCCCGGACGCAGCAGCTGCCCTTTGCCTCGATGCGCTGCCTTGATCACTTTATAACTCTGGGTGGTTGTTTTCTTTTCGTTTTTTTTTTTTCTTCCCTTCTTCCCACTGACCAAGTCTACAGGGACAAAGGCCACTGCAGGCGGGAGCCGCAGTCCGAGCGGCCCGGTGATGTGTAGATCGAAGGTGACACACTCGGAGCCGGCCCGCGCCCCTGGCCCCCGCCCCCGGGGCAGGTCGGCTCCCAGCGCGCTCGCGACCCGGCGTCTGGGACCCGCGGCGGCGGCGGCGGGGGAGGGAGGGACAGGGGTCGCCTCGGCTGCGCTGGGAGCCGCGGGCGGAGGCGTCCCGGTTCCTGCTGACCTCCCGGCGCTAATTGCAGGGGCCGGAGGGCGCGCCCCGGCGGTGGCAGGGGTCACGACCCCGCGCCCCTCCTCCCGGGCCCGGCTGGCCAGCCCGCGGGGGCCGGGCCGGGGGTGCGCGCGCGTGCATGTGTGTGAGTGCGCACAGCCCCCCTCCGCCTCCATCCCGAACCCCGCCGGTGCTTTGTGGCGCGGAGGCCCTGAAAACAGCTCCATCCGAGAAGGAAAACCCTGGTGGTGACCTTCCCCCCACCACCACCCCGCCGGCAGACAGGCAGGCAGCCGCCTCCGGGCTGCCAGTGGCTGATGGAGACGCTTCAGGTCCCTGCGCTTTCGGCCTCCCCGGTCTCCAAAGCGGACCCCGCCGCCGCCGGCCAGGCGAGGGGCGGGCGGGTGGCTGGTGTAGACGCGGGGTCGCGAGCCGCCACCGGGGTTCACATATTCCTCTCTGTTGCCTCTCCCGCGTGCGTTCGGGGGGCCAGGTACACACAGGTGTCAGGAGGGGGTGCGTGTCTGTGTGTGTGTGTGTGTGTGTGTGTGCGCGCGCG